TATATATATATATAAGAAAAACTTGAAATAATTGTTTTGTTAATTTCTTCTACTTTTTTTTATTCATTATTTATTTTTTCAGACAGTTGTTTGAAAAGTAAGAAAGTTATTATATAATTGCAAAGTTTTCTTGTGAAGTAATTATCAACTACAATTTCAATTTTTTTTCTATATGTATAATTTTTGAGAATAACAAAAATTAATAGCTAGCTTCTTTGCTTCTTAACTCATTTCTGAGACACGTAAAGTTTGATGAACAAAACACAGTTGCGGCGTTTACAAAATAACATTAGCGCTAGACCAAATTTCCTCTAGATGGACGACAATAGTTTTAAATACAGTTACTTTTTTAACAATATCATAGCTTTACTTTTCGACATTTTCCATAGAATTTAAATTTTCAATCAGAAAAATGGTTATAAAAATGAAAGTAATAGCTAATTATTAACAAAACCCATTCCTAGTAATCTCTATTGTACATAAAAGAAAATTTTCATGATTAATTCCCCTTACAAATTAAATTATATGAAGTTTTTTTCTTAAAGCTTGCACTGTATACGTTGATAGTGAAGATTGTAAAGGTATTGAAAAAAAAAATGGTATGTTTATTCAGAGAATATCCGTTTTTGGTCTGGTTTCGTAACTTAATCGTTAACAGCAATTATTTAACCCCTTTAAAGTCAACCCTTTGAAACCATTTGGCTCTTAAAAATAAAATAAAAAATCTGATCCTTAAAAAAAATATATTCATGGTGCATTAGCAAAAAATTATATGCTAGCTGTGCATACATAAAACCACCAGTTATCATTCATGAGTTTTAGGTTTTTTATGTTCAATTTCAGGTACCTCTCATTTGAAGAACTAGAAGACACTGGACGACGACTAAAAGACCTGTTTTTAAATCTAAAATGTACTCTGAAATCAATAAAGAAATTTCTAAAGAGAGAAAATATATTTTTTAGTATCTACATTGTAAACGGAAAAATATTCAAATTTAATTGAATTACATTCTTTAAGGAATTTTATTCTTTTTTTAAATTTTAAACAAAAAATATTATCTAAATTTTTGCTAAGTTTTAAGTAAATCTGTGTAAAATCAATCAGGGAAATCTTAGGAAATTTTCTCCATTAGGATTGACTGGCTGAGAAAAAATATAATACAAGAATTATATACAAAAAATTAAAAAAATTAATTTTCAAAATTCTCCCTTGTTTTCTTCATCTTATTTTCCATTCTTCAGTTGCTTTCTGTGTTTTTTGTATCCGTCGTTGAACAGCTGACCCAACTCCGTAGCCTTGTAATTTTGAACCAATCTAGAAGGCAAGGAAACTCCTGGATCAGTACCCCCAGATGTATCGATTTGTTATGGGAACATGGAGGACTTTGCGACTCGACAGATTTAACGTGTAACAGTATCAGTCACCATTTACTACACAGAAAGTCTTCGACCGGCGAGGATCGAACCCACGAACTCTTGGACATGGGCCCAGAGTTCAACCAACTAGGCTATCTCGGCCCTGAAGCTTTCTGTGTTTGATAAAATATCCCTTCTTCTCCAAAGAGATTTAGCAGTTTAAAATATAAAATTTAAACAGTTAAATGTTACAAAAAAGTGACATAAGCAAATAGCAACTAATTTTTTTCAGGCATGAAAGGGTCTGTCGATGAAATGAACCAGGCCCATGATTGAGTCCTAGAACATGAAGATCCGATCATTAAATCAAATTGTATTAAGGCTGGTCTGTTTAATTTTTTACTCATTGTATAAAAGCTAGGGTTTTAAAGAAAGACTAAAGCGAGAAAAATTGGTGGAGCTAATTCTACTGCTCAAACAGGAACAGCATAAGCAGTTCTGGAGACTGGCGAATGAGAGTAAGCAGGGAACAGAGCCCCAATTAACTTAAAGCAAGATTTAAAAAATTTATTTTCTTGTAATACATAAAATGACACTCTGCCTTAAAATTAAGACAGGATTATTAAAATTTCAATTTATGATTGTGCAAGTATGAATACTGCAAAAATAAAAACTAATCTCAGATAGGAATTAACTATAACTTCAGAGAAATTTCTATGTTGAGAAACACAAAGGTGATTGTGACACAAAGTAAAAAACCCTGAAAGTTTCAAACTCGAACAAACAATTGAACAGCGTGCAATATCTTTATAACAAGATATCAGTTCATATACTATTCATACTTAATGTAACTTTTGTGATTTATAATTAAATTACCTAACAATAAAGAATATCACACTTTTATTGTAACTAATTTAGGAAAAAACTTAGTTCTTACAAGAATCACGATTAAATGGATTTTAAGAACGTGAAAATACAAATCGCGATATTGGGTTTTAAAATGGAGTGAATAGGATTCGCGATAATGCATTTAATAACGCAAAAATACAAAATTGCAATATTGGATTTTTGAATCGCGTAAATACGAATCACGGTGCATGATTTTTAGATCGATCCCTTAAATACGAAAAGACACACTGGATTTTAAACTCGCTTGAAACGAATCGCGATATTGATTTCAAAAACTAGTTAAAACAAATTGAGGTATTGCATTTTATAAATTCCGTGCATACGAATCGCCATGCATGATTTTTAAATCGCGTGTATACGACTCACAGTGAGTAACTTTTAAATCAGGTAAATACGAAAATCAATGTTGGATATTAAAACTGCGAGAATAAGAATAGCGATATTAGCGGATTCAGGCGTAGTTTAAAATATTAAAAACAATAAAAATTAGACACATAAAAAAAAATTATGCGATGAAAATTTCTGTTTTATGTAAAAAAGGAAGAAAACTGTCTTAAGTCAGGCCACAGACTGAGGTAAGCGGTAAGAATGGGAACTCAGGAGGTTAATTTCCATACTTTTGTGCTAGCACGTGCAGGCGCGATATTCGCATGCTAATGCTTAAGTATCGGAATTTGCCTCCCAGATATCTTTAACTTACCGCTTGGCATCCTCAGCTTCCTCCCGCCTAACTTGTAATGCCGAAAAAATGTCAACTACCATAATTAAGAAGTAGTTATAATTTAATCTGACAGTTCTGAATTGATATATTTTGCCCATATCAATGAGCTAAAATTTGCGAATTTTAACTAATGCTGCTTAAAAGTGAAAAAAATTTATTTTAGTTTATCGGTTTGGGTGCCGTTTAAATATTATGTAAGCATCTACCGGTGGGGAAAGATATGAGCAATGCTTCTTCAAGCAAAATAAAAATTTAACAATAAATTTACACATGAAATAACTTCCATAGAGGAAAAGTTGAATCCGAAAGTAAAAATTTATTCGTAGAGTTTCTGAGATCAGTTTTGAATGTAGAAAGAGAACCCAAGATTTCTCTGTCAAGAATGAAAACCCATAACATCCTTTTATTTGAATTTAATCCTAAAACTAGACTACCACAGTAAAATAAGCTAAGGCCGAACAAAATCCAGAAGGGGGTAAAACATTCTTAAGTTAGCATAAGGGGTAGCGATAAGTTTATTTTTGATTATGAGATGAGAGTTCAAAATTGCCAAAAATATGTTTACTTAATGTTTGAGCTGTCTATTAGGGTGGCACTTACAGTAACAGATTCCAAACAAAATGCTTGTACAAAATTTTGGAACTAAAACTTAATGTCTTCACCACATTATCAGCCCGAATTTAGGATTGGTTCATTAAAGTGAAAGAAAATATTAAGTAATAACTATCACTTTTGACAAATATTCGTGATAAGAAATGGTATTGAAGCTCTACTGCAAGCAGGTGAAAGAAACCCTTATTTCTTTTTTAACATTATATTTTATTACTTGCATAACTTCTTGGCATCATTCCCACGATTCTACACCATTGAAACTTTCATTATAAGATCAGACAATCTCGCATTAATCCTAAAAATGATTACTATTTGTGTACCATCAAATTTAAGCAACAGGGTTGGCAAGGTTCTTCCAAAGCGAAAATATTCAGACAAGTTTTTTTTTTAATGGTTGCTGTTATATAAAATTCTCTAAAACCTAAGAAACTACAATAAATTTTATGTTAACCCTTCGCAAACGTATGTCTGCCCTCATCCACAGCAAAGAACCAGTCTGATCTTATATAATATTAAGTGGACAAGCTTCGGAGATATGTAGAGTTCGAAATATTTTATAAATCTTGTTCAGTATAATTAGGCAGCATTTTCGTTTACACAGTTAAGTGGGCGTAAATTTGAGTCAATCATTGTTATTTTTATCGCATTTTGCCTCCTTAGAAGGTAGTATTATTAAATTTTGTATTTCTCAAGAACCATTGGAGAGATAGCCTTAAAAAATTTATATATTTTCAATTAATTTGCCATAAAAGTTTCAATTCAAAATGCTTTTCGAACATTATTTAATTTAATTTTAAAAAATAATAAATTATAATTTTAAAAAACTTGTAAATTTTATTTGATTTTTTATTTTATCAGCAAATTTATAATTGTGCGCAAAATGGTAGGCTTAGAATGAGGTGAATAACGGAATACTTGTCCGCGAAGAGGACACCACACTACTTCACTGTGCCCGTGCTCCACTGAGAATAAGGCAGTAAGAGTAAGACAGTAAAAGGCTGTAAGTTTAGGTCAGCATGAGAGAAGTAGCGGAAGCAATAGCAGACTTCAATTTAATACTTTTAGTCCTACTTCTGAGATTAGGTTTAAAGAAATAATGGTAGGAATGCACAAATTCTTTGAAATTCCTTTATTAGTTTCAGAGATTTGATACGAAAATTGATATTAAAGGGGCGAAACTTTGAGCCGCTCACCTGCTTAAACTATTTAGGCAATTTTTACTTGATCCAGTCATAATTTACAGGTAACGCCATATTTTGTACCAGATTTTGTTAGTTTTGTACCATCCAAATTTATCGAGAAAAAAATTTTTTGCTTATTCACGAAAAGTCTTTTTTCATCTCCTGTGAAGGACTAGAAACAAACTGCCAGGTTGATGAAGAAATTACCAAATAATATCGGGAAGCAAGAACAATATTGAATTCCTAATGATCAGACTATAATTGTAATAGACCTTTGCCTCGTTTTGACTTTTTACTGTACCTCTTCAAATTTTAAATTATTTATTATTTATTTTAATTTGATTAGTCTTCACTGATAAATGTTCTTCATTCTACTTTGCGATGCAGTGAACTGATGAAATTATGGATTAATTTCTAAATAAAGTCTTATATGACACATATTTTTTTAATTGATTTCATAACTGAGGTAATTCAATGCCTCCTATCGATTTGTTANCACACGATTTCTTATAGGTAGTCCGATCAGACCACTATGAAGATAAATCAGTTCACGAAAGAGCCATTAAATAGAAAATATAGTAAAAATATGAAAGTGGTAGCAAATATATGTCTAAAATTTTTTTAAATTTATGAATATGATTGGTTTGTCTTATTCACTTGTCAACCACTACAGATTCAATTCTCAAATATATATGATAAATTCCTCTCGATTACTTTTAAAATTGAATGTGTAGGAGCACAGTTTACCTAGCAGTGCATGAAGTCTCTCTCCCTTCCGGCCAAATGCATCAATTATCAAGGCGATCACCCGACCAGATGAGGAGCCTCACCATCAAGCCTGCTACATCTTTCATGATGCCTTTCATTATTTTATCGCATTTCAGGTTCTTTTCCGAACCACCAATGCAACTTTCCTAAGTATGTCCCGTTGGGATATTTCATGATGAATGGGATAAAGGCCATTTAGGCCTCAAATGCCCAGTTCTAAAACAACAAACGAATACTTTTAAAATTAAATTTGGTTTCATGCCCGAAACTGGTTGACCTTTTAAATAGTCTGATCTGACTACTTATAAAATACCATGTGGAGGCTTTCTGAAGTAAGAGGTGATGGCTAATTAATTAGGATTCGGAACTTGACCCATTAACCCCTGCTGGACCATGATC